TTGTTTAATGGAGAAGCTGACGAGGGACAGACAGACAGACGAATGCAATGCCAGGTGAGCTAAAAATGGTTGCAATAGAAACAAATGAAACGTTAACAATAGGTTGCAGTGTGCTTATAAAGGTGGGATATGGTATAACATGTTTCCTGTGATTATACTCGGGAGTAAAAATGTATTGTTGTCACTGTTAAACATAACATCACTTGTGTTTTCCTTTTTTCCTTTTGCAGAAATGAGGAGAAATAGAGTCTGAGAGCATGCAAGTTAATGTACACATATATGCTTTGGCAACATATTTTCATAATTCACATGCAGTTTCCATGGCAACTTACACCAATCCATCAGCCACTGACCTGGTTACATTTGGTGACCTTGCTTAACCTTGTACATAAGTCTATAATTTCTTATCGAACATGATATTGGGAAGTGTTTTGATACAGATTGGTCGAGCAGTTAAAATGAAAACTGTATTAACCCATTTTTCTTTTAGATGTCTCACTTACAGTTCTATTTGGTTGAAAAAACAAAATATTATACCAGGGAGTGGGTATATAACAAAGAATACAACGTGTCAACATTTAGAAATAATTTCTTTTTTCTCTAATAATTAAAATTTACAATAAAGTTTGAACAGAAAAATATTAAACAATGAAGTTAATATATATCACAACCGTTTGATGCCAATGACAGTTATAACCATGTGAATAGTGACTGCATATATATATATATATATACAAAAGATAAGATGAAGACAAGTTTCCCATAACCTTTTCTTTGGGATCATCAAGTGGTTTACTTATCTAGGAACAGTTACTCTACCCTACATTTGTATCTAAAGGGACAGCACTCTACTTCAAGTTTATATCTAATGAAATAGACACCACATGTAATATCAATGTACATATTCCATGAAAAAGAAAACCGCTGAAATATCTATCCAGTGAAATATCTATCCCACAAAATTTAAACATCATGAAACAGATATCCCATAAAATACATATACCATGAAATAGCCCATGAAATATAAATCTTACGGAATAACTCACAATTAATTTACAGAAAAAACAACTACCAAATTAAAAAAAAAAAACCATTTTGCTCTCACTTCACTTTTAAAATATTAATTTTTAAGTATTTTTAAAATATATGGGTTCCGCTGATTTTTGGCACTATTTATTTTTACAACTTAAACAATTTTAAGCCTTATGGTTACTTTTACCAGTATCTAAAACAAGTTTATTGATGAAATTATAGTTTGGGCCCACTATACTTAGTCATACTAATAACAGCACTTAGTCATACTAATATCAGCTTTCATGCTATTTAAATGGCTTATTTGATAAATGAAATGTTACCTGTACATATCAAGTTAATGTAAAACCCTTGGAGTTGAAATTGACCCGTTCTATAAACACAAACAAAGGGGGGGATTTGGAGCACACTAAATTATAACGGTGTTGAATCAATTTATTGTTCTATTTGTATATATTAGTATTTAATGCATTACAAGAATTGATGGTCAATAATGCTTACAGATACCGAAAACCAGCAGGAGCCCATCTTTTAACCCTTTCACCCCTATGTAACTTTAGTAGGCTCTACCATGCATTGATCTGGATGAGTCCATTATGGTCTACAGTGGTGAAAGGGTTAAAGCCATGCTATATATTTCAAAAGTGTACAAATTACTTTTCCCCTTTTATAACAAATAATCTTCTGTTGCTTTAATTTCAATAGGGTACTGTCGCTTCTAAAAATTGAAGTGTTTTTTTTTAACATTAAAAAATCTTGCTTAACTTAAAAACTGTGAATTTGTTAGACTAAGTATTTTGACATAAAATACATACATGTTTGACTTTGGAATGAAGACTTCTTGTGTATAAAATCTACCTACCATCACACAATCTCTCTACATCTTAGTAGGTTTACATGAAATAAAAATCATCACATAAAATTAACACTGATCATAATAACATTTCCTTGGTACCTTAAGAAGCAGTATAAACATAACAAGCACCGATATAAATAAGCTACCTGGACCTATGGAGACTGGACAGAAGTATTCCGAAATTATCAATCCTACTGGATATTCAATCTATTTATAACTTTTTTATGAGTCTTGCTTACTTCATTTTTAAGCATTTCAGAAGATGTTTTTGTACAGTTAGGGAAAGCCTACAAAGTTCTTAATGCATCATCTACAATTAACAATCTGTTGATGTCATTTGTTTTCCGTATAAATAGAAAAAATGATGCTAAAATAACATGTTTAAATATAACTTGTTACATTTTTAAACAAGTCATTGCAAAAGATGAAAATATTTTGAGAAGACATTTTGTTATTCCTTACAGTTTGTAAAATTTCTTCTATATTGATTGAAAACAAAGCTAGGAAAACTCATTGTAAAATGTAAAAATACACGAAATATTCATAAGAATGATATTTGCCCAAATATTTTTGTCCTGTCTTTAAACACAATTAAAATATGCCAATATAAAAACACTGCCTAAAGCAGAATAGCAGGGAGCTTTATTCTATTCCACTACTCACATCATCTATCAACAAAATTATTGTGATTGAAAATCTACAAAACTGCATGTAACACCACTTAATGACATATTGATGACCACAGGTTTCAAACGTTCAATCCGAAACAGTGTTTGTGATGGTGAGGAGTGGAGGTAATGCCGTACGTCTGTACAACACAACGGGGTGTCTCTCACCAAACATCACCATATTAGGACACTCAGAGGTCAGGTGATAATTATAGAAGTGTGTATTGGTCAAGTGCGATGACACAAGTGTGGTTACTGTAATTCTATCTAGTTAGCACGGAACAAAATGTCAAGCAACCAAAGATAACCAGGTACTAGTAGCTTTTTGAGGAAGGCAGACCTGTCAAGAGAGAAAGAACACCGTTAACTCCTGATCGACAACTGGTCTACAACACAATAACTCACCTTGTATCAGGTCAAAAGGCAGTTTTATACGCCAAATTAACTGCTCAATTAACCCATTAACCAAAAGGAAGTTTTGACATCACAGTGATAATATATTTATGCTACAAACATTACTGTTAGGACACTGGTGATTGTGAAATCTAAACAGAAACCAGAGTGGCACATTAACATTTTGGTTCTAAAGAATGTACATAAGTAAAAAGTAAGTATAGTTAGGTATGGTTGGTGAAGTTAGATATGAAACTCATGATGTACTACTGATGACTGATTTGTGAAATCTTTGATATGAGCATATCATAACTTTTTGCACAGGATAAAATAACCCGAAATTGATGAAAGGAGATCATTAATGTCAGCATATGATTGATGTATAAACAAACAGATGGTTCTTGGAACAAATTCTTAGGTTCTGATGATGAGATAATTGCCCTAATGATGTAAAATCATAGTCCAGCACAACTACTACTAATCGTAACTATAGCTACATATCAAACTACCCTCTCCGACTGTGATAGTAGACCAGATCTCAATGATATTTTTAATACAATCTGAAGTGTTTTAGAAGTCAATAGTTATTACAGGGATTTGTCTTTATCGTTATTCAATAGACATGAAATTACCATACCTATCCCACAAGTCCCAGGAGTTCAGCAAATAATTTCTGACTCAAAGTGGAAGGTGGGTGCATGGGCTTATTACAGGACAATATAATACAATTTTGTTTGTAGTTCTATTGAATTGCACTAGATAAGGGTGGGCTTAATGCAGGATAGATATGGTAATAAACTGCACCAAATCTGTTTTGTAATCACACTTTGAAAGCTGGACATGATTGTTGGGATCTTAGCTTAGTAGGTTAAGATAGGTATTTATCGAAACAGTTTTGCTAGGTGACAAAAGAAAACGTAAGCTTTCAGTTGATATTAATTGCCTACATCCAGATTTCAATTTCAAACCTTGCAAACATCCCACTGCAGTTCAATGTATATTAAAACAATTTTCTTCATCCTCATAGGCAAATGGTTGTCAAAGTGGACCTCCTTGCAGAACACTTTGTCCTGAACATGTGGTGGCCCAATTCCCATTGGCCTTTAAGAATTGGAAAAATGTTTTAGTACTGTAAAAATATGCAGTTAAATTTTTGCATATTATGAAATAAATCCAGGTGTGAGCAGATTGGAACGCTCACCTTTGTGAGAATATAAACATATCTGACCACACTACCACCAGCATGTTCGGCCTTAGTCTTCTATACACAATTTGAATAATTTAACTGCTAAAGACACTGATGGTTGAGGTATTTCTTAATCAATAACTTCACATGGACTTGACCTTAGATGTGACCTTGATATGGGTTATGACCATTGATTTGTACAAATTTAACAGCCCTTCACAATAGCAAAATACAAATGAAATAGCATGACCCTAAGGCTCATGGTTCTATAGAAGAAGTTTTTTTTATTTGAATATTTTGAAAACCTTTGACCTAAGTGACCTTGTAAACCTAAGCTGCACTGATATTAAATCAAATATTATCTTGCTAGGCCTCATGGTTGTGTAGAAGTTGTTTAAATAAATGATATATGACATGGGGCAGTCATGTGCCTACACTAGGATGTAGTAGGTATGAGACTAAATGTGGGTGATAGCATATGATACTGGCAGTAGATGGCTAGTGGCTCCCTCTCATGATAGCTTACATGAAGCAAAAAATAACTGGCAAAAGGTGCATAGTGATGGGAAGTGTGACGTGATACAGGAAGTGGCTACTGACCCACAGGTGGTGGTAGTGTGTCCGATACGGAACGTGGTAGGTTAGGGAGTAAATTTGGTGATCGTGTGACTGATACAGGAGATGGTAGGCTAGGGACTAACTAGGGACTAACTATATACAATTAAGACAAAGGACAGAAATATTAAAAACAGGCTACAAACAGTGAATATGTCTTGGTGCAAAACACTAATTGATGTATTTCTACATAAATAAATATGAATAAGGTGGTAAAGCATGGGTTATACAGGCCCTTAAGATCTCTTACTTTTGTTGTGTTTCCCTCGCGACTTGTTGCTAGCGGTGGATTCTGATTTCTTGAGAGCATTTCCAGAATTAGAATTACGTCTGGAGGAGGTACGAGAGCCAGCCTTTAGTCTCCCTACGGACAGATTTATCTTCCCCATCGTTGTCTGTCAACAGATAAACACAACGTCCACATCTCAAACAAAAAACGGTACATGTTGATTCTTGTTCTGTAACTGTTTAGCTATTCTAAACAAGACAAAGTATTATGAGCAATGCATTGTCCCCATTTGTTAGATAAACCTCAATATCAAACACTCAGTTTATAGTGGTGCACAAGACCCAATTCCAATAGGCGATATTGGGATGATGCCATTTTGACCTTTTGTAGTGACCCCTGACCTTGTTTAGGTGATGACACTTGACTTTGTGTGGATGATTACCCCCTGATCTGTTAAGGTGATAATCTCAATGACAACCTGACTTAAACATGTGTTTTTTAATAGTGTAGATAACGACTCCTGACCTAAAGTAACTATGACCCCTGACCTTATGTAGTTGATGACCCCAGCTGACTTTACTCATAAGTTTTAATAGTATAGGAATGACCCCTGACCTTATGTAGTTGATGACCCAACTGACTTTACTCATTAGTTTTAATAGTATACTGATAGGTGATGACCCTTGACTTTGTGAAGTTGATGACCCCAGCTGACTTTAATCATCAGTTTTAATAGTATAGGAATGACCCCTGACCTTGAGCACAGTGGCAGCATACTCCTGAGTTGCATTTCTCATGTCCTCCCCATTGACGGCTAAGATCTGGTCCCCTTGCATAAGTCTGCCATCGGCCTCTGCTACACCCCCCTTCACCTGGAAAACAGGAATGTCACGTAAGAATTCAAAGGTGTTTCATATAAGTATACGGTTAAAACTGCCCTATAGGCAATGAGTTTTGCAAAATAAACCTTATTATATTCAATTTATTAATAATTAAAGACAACAATTTAAATATGAATAGTAAAGTAGTAATTAAAGTAATCAATATTTGAATTTTTATAAACAGAAGTAATAATTGTGAACTTGAGAACACTCACAATATCAGAGATATAGACCCCAACATCATTGCGTTTGCCGACAATACTGAGCCCAAGCCCTCGCCCAGGCTTCTTCATAAGCTCTACGGCAAATATGTTGTAAATGTCTTCCTCCTTGACTTGGTTATCATCACGGAACACAGAAATTTTCACTGTTGGCGGAGTCTGGCGTAGCACCTGGATTGCATAATCATGGGTAGCCTCCCTTAGGTCCTCCCCATTTACCTGTGTACAACACAAAATAGAAACATTTAACTTACTGCATTATTGTTAAACTATACCAAACTGGCCCCTGTCTATTGTGGATCCCTGTCTACACCAGTTTCCACATTTGGTCCTGGCATTTCCTCTCTTAAAATATGTATATTTCCTGTCTAATCTGACCATTGTCTACTTCTGTTTTTATACATCCAGTTCATTCCTATCTTTCCATATTCCTTGGTACAGATATCCCATCCCCCTTAACCCCCACTTGCTAAAGTACTTTTCCAGACTAAAATTACATGATCTGTTGACTTTAATTGTAATTTATTGTAAATACAATGAAGACTCCAGTTGACATGAAAAAAGCAGCAATTGGTAATTATTAGTCTCTGAACAAAGGTCAGCCTGTTGATAAGGGTGGTCTCTCTGGCAGGTTGACTCTACTCACATCTAGAACCTGGTCTCCAGCCCAGAGGCGGCCATCACGGGCTGCAGCACCATCCTCGTACACCTCGTGGATAATGATTGCACCCTGGGAAACAGTAATTTAACATGTCAGGTATAGTCATAAACAGGTCATATAAGTATGAAAAGTTGATAGTTCACAACATATGAATTTGAAGGACAATGCATCATTGCATAAGTTGAACTTTTGGTCCTCATCCTGTGTGGACTTTCTTATATGCATTACACAGTGGTTCCTTACTAAAAGAGTGTCATCCCCTCCCAACATATTGATCCCTATGTGGGCCTACTTTACCTCAAAATACAGGAGTTATACTCACTAGAAGAGTGTCGGCCCCACCCACTATACTGAGCCCAAGCCCTGTGCGGCCCTTCTCAATTTCTATTGTCGTTTCTTTTCCTGGAATGACTGGACATGTGAAAGGGTCGTGTGGAACTGTGTCTTGCTGCTGACTAGGAGACTGGGTGACAGGGTCTGTTGATGACTCCCCTGAAACACAAGACCACGTGATCACAAACAAAAGTAAAAATAAGAACTTTGGCAGCAACTTTTATTAGCTTAATCAAATCCTCCCAAAGTTATCTGGATAACCAAGCTTTCAGATACATTTAGAATATGCAGTATACAAGTTATTATATAGAAACCATTCTATCTCTAAAAGAAAAGTGAAATGTTATGTTACTTTAATGTATGTAATGGCATGTGACATTACTGTGTGTCATGGTGTGTGACATTAATGTGTGTTAAGGTGTGTGACATTAATGTGTATAATGGTGCGTGACATTACTGTGTGTAATGGTGTGTGACATTACTGTGTGTAATGATGTGTGACATTACTGTGTGTAATGGTGTGACATTACTGTGTATAATGGTGTGTGACATTACTGTGTGTAATGGTGTGTGACATTACTGTGTGTCATGGTGTGTGATATTAGTGTGTGTAATGGTGTGTGACATTACTGTGTGCAATGGTGTGTGATATTACTATTATGGTGTGTGACATTACTGTGTTGTAGCTAGGGTGCTTGACATTTATGTGTATATGGTGCTTTAAAATAGTATGATAATTATGTCACCCTGTGTTTAACTGTGTGCTGTAACTATGTCTATGGTGTGACTACTATTTAAGTTATTTAGGTGTCTAATCAAATACAGACCTACTTGGTTATTTAGGTGTCTTATTAAATACAGACCTACCTGGATATTTAGGTGTCTAATTAAATACAGACCTACCTGGATATTTAGGTGTCTAATTAAATACAGACCTACCTGGTTATGTAGGTGTCTAATTAAATACAGACTTACCTGGGGCACTACTTGCCACTTGAAAGACAGTGTTTTGTTGTGGACTGTGGCCACTGGAAGCCTGGGTGTTGTTCTCCCCACACTTTCGCACTTTTAACCTCACAGTCCCCTGACTATTGCGTAAAATTTCTATTGCCTGAAAATAAAATTGTTATTTTTATTTCAGGGTTCTCGATAAGGCAATGACAGTAGCAATTCACTGTATGACATTTGGGGGATAACCAGATTGTATTTTGAAATTTGTGGCCCCAAATCATGATTATACTGTCGCAAATTGATTTTTACTGGTAAAACGGATCATTGCAATATTATAATCACGATATCCCGCTGCAAATTTCAAAACACAGTTGAATTAATTATCCCCATTCTAATTCATATGAGCCAAAATCACCAAAAGAAACGATGATTTTAAGATATTTTTCAGTGTTTCAGTGTCCCTCAGAATTTCATTGGCCTTTTTGGGTCACACCATTGTTCATGACGTCATGAATAATCAAATTCATGATGTGTCAGGGTCAGTCCAGGTCATTGACATCATTAATAATCGCCATCAAGGCTTCATATGCAAATGCGAAAATTTGCGGAGAGTATTTCTTGGTTTTACCATCGCAAATTATTTTGATTGACCAATCAAATGTTGTGCTACATCTCAAATGAATTAGAATAGCAAATTAAATACATGTACCAGTTACTGAACTTGGGAGTAGTATCCCATCCACTGTTTCTGTGAGGTGTTTATGATATAATAAACTATTTGTTATTGTTATTCTATAATGTTATTCTTCATGCAATCAAACATGGCATCTTAACCATGACACAGACTTTAATTTGTTTTCTATCAACTATGACATATGGCATTTAAACACTCACTTTTAAAAATTTTATAACTTACTTTATCATAATGGACCCCAGTAAGTGGCCGATCGCTGACCTCCAGGATCTGATCACTTACACTCAACTGACCATCCTGTAATACAAACAATTAAAAGTTTAAATTATTGTAGAAGTAATTGGTTCTGTTATAATTTATAAATGAATAGTTCCTGAAAGGATAGGTCTCGCAGATCCCTGCATGTGGTACATTATACAGCAGAACCTTGATATACCATGAAACACACCCCATTCCTCTATACATCTTCCTCAACATACCGCCAAACCTCTTTATTCTACGGAACAACAAACATTTCAAATGACAAATAGTGACAGTAAAACAAAGTTGTGGACAAACTGTTTCAGGAGATTATAACGATCGCTCCCCTTACCACTCACAGGGAATTTGATGATTTCACAAATCAAAATTGAGTGAAAAATTGTGAGACTAAACAAGAAAGTTTAACTTCTTCAGTAAGACCTAGGTGTATTTCTGACATATCCTGACTGTGATTTCAGTAAGACCTAGGTGTATTTCTGACATACCCTGACTATGTGATTTCAGTAAGACCTAGGTGTATTTCTGACATACCCTGACTATGTGATTTCAGTAAGACCTAGGTGTATTTCTGACATACCCTGACTATGTGATTTCAGTAAGACCTAGGTGTATTTCTGACATACCCTGACTATGTGATTTCAGTAAGACCTAGGTGTATTTCTGACATACCCTGACTATGTGATTTCAGTAAGACCTAGGTGTATTTCTGACATACCCTGACTATGTGATTTCAGTAAGACCTAGGTGTATTTCTGACATACCCTGACTATGTGATTTCAGTAAGACCTAGGTGTATTTCTGACATACCCTGACTATGTGATTTCAGTAAGACCTAGGTGTATTTCTGACATACCCTGACTATGTGATTTCAGTAAGACCTAGGTGTATTTCTGACATACCCTGACTATGTGATTTCAGTAAGACCTAGGTGTATTTCTGACATACCCTGACTATGTGATTTCAGTAAGACCTAGGTGTATTTCTGACATACCCTGACTATGTGATTTCAGTAAGACCTAGGTGTATTTCTGACATACCCTGACTATGTGATTTCAGTAAGACCTAGGTGTATTTCTGACATACCCTGACTATGTGATTTCAGTAAGACCTAGGTGTATTTCTGACATACCCTGACTATGTGATTTCAGTAAGACCTAGGTGTATTTCTGACATACCCTGACTATGTGATTTCAGTAAGACCTAGGTGTATTTCTGACATACCCTGACTATGTGATTTCAGTAAGACCTAGGTGTATTTCTGACATACCCTGACTATGTGATTTCAGTAAGACCTAGGTGTATTTCTGACATACCCTGACTATGTGATTTCAGTAAGACCTAGGTGTATTTCTGACATACCCTGACTATGTGATTTCAGTAAGACCTAGGTGTATTTCTGACATACCCTGACTATGTGATTTCAGTAAGACCTAGGTGTATTTCTGACATACCCTGACTATGTGATTTCAGTAAGACCTAGGTGTATTTCTGACATACCCTGACTATGTGATTTCAGTAAGACCTAGGTGTATTTCTGACATACCCTGACTATGTGATTTCAGTAAGACCTAGGTGTATTTCTGACATACCCTGACTATGTGATTTCAGTAAGACCTAGGTGTATTTCTGACATACCCTGACTATGTGATTTCAGTAAGACCTAGGTGTATTTCTGACATACCCTGACTATGTGATTTCAGTAAGACCTAGGTGTATTTCTGACATACCCTGACTATGTGATTTAATGTAGATACCTATGTTACTACCCCCTGGTAACCCACTGAAAACATACCTCCATTACTTAAAGTTCTCTTTATCAGATTTTATGTGGTATAAACAGAAGATACTGACCACTGACCAATAAGACCTTAAGACAGGGATAACATCAACAGACGAGGAAGTCTCAGGATACAGAGATTTACTCCAGCAGATAATACCTGGCATGTTTACATCAGCTATCTCAGTAACATTAGATCAAATAATGATGTTAGTTAAAAGGATTATTGTCCAAAACAATTATATTTATCATAATATTAACAGACAATATTAATTACACTATATCTATTAAAAATATCTTAATCAAAAAACAATAAAAAAGAATCTTGCCCAACAGTAAGACAAAAAGTAGTATTTTCTGTTAATAATGTGAAGACTTGTCGAGACACCTACATCCCGTGGTTCAGACCCAGAAATTGAGGTTGTAACATGCACATGCAGCTGTAGCTATAGGTATATATCCCACTGGGCAATTTGAAAATTCTGTTATTTTACCAATTCCCCTCCATGACCCGGAAATGACATATTTCAAGATACATGTACAATATTTCACCCTAAAAAAGCTTTCATTTTTTTCAATTCCAGGTACTCCATGTTTGGTAGCATATTGCAGACTGAAAGTCAAACAGGTAAATGGAGATATGGAGCATGTTCAATCTGGTTAATTGATGTCATCAAGTTAATCTGACAGGGTTGTTAGGGTATTTAAAGCTCAGATAGATTAGCATATATATTGCTTAAAACTATGTTGGGCGAGTTTGAAATGCAATGAAATATGATGCAACACCACCTGGTGTTGAATTGGACTTTGATCAATTACTGGTCTGTTACCGGTTTAGTTGTTAACTCAAATGTGTGTGGTTGTTTATGCTGAATAAATTTATTTGTAAACTGCACTTAATTAACCTTAGGTGTGACTTTCAATCATGAAATATTTTAGAACTTGGTAAGTCGGAACATGTCATTGATTGGTTGAAATTCTGATGTAATATTCAACAAGATTGTTCAGTCATCCAGGACTAATAAAAACATTAAAGGAGGGATTACGCTTGAAACATGAAATGTCAATGACACAGCTGACATCATGGGCGGGCCTTTTTACCTGAGCTGCCACTCCCCCAGCTGTGATACTTCGGACGTAGATACCCTGTCTCCCTTCTCTGTTCTCCTCCACTATGGCAAAACCAAGACCTGAGGATCCCTAGAGGTAAAAGAAAACAACGTTTTTAAAATATTTGTTGACTCAAATTTTGAGAAGAACATACACATATTTAGAAATTAATATCTCTAGGACAATGCTTAAATACTGGCAAATTTACCAAAAATACTGCTAAATCTATTTATAAATTATAAATTGTCATTTTTTAGAACATAGATTACTTACCTGTATCATACAAATTGCTTACCTGTAACCATGACATACCTTTTGGAGATTAAAAACCTGGAAAACATCTTGTGGACTTAGATTAGCCCCCCCTGTTTCTATGGAAGGGTCAGGGGTGGTAGCAATAGTTGCTGGTTGGGAATGACTTGGAAGGGAACGAATATCCTGCAAAGCAACAGTAATGTGATTAATTGTAGATCAGGAACAAACAGACAAGTATCATCAGTAAAACAAGATTAAAACCTGAACAACAAAACATATAACAGGTGTGTACGCACTATGAACCCTGAGGATTAAAGATTGCCTAGAGCAGACATACCAATTCTACTAGCTGTTAATTGGATCTCTAGGACTAGAATTTTTAACGTCATAATTATCATAAAATCAAATCAACAGTTTTGAGCTCTGAAAAGATACAAAGGGCACAGATTATGCATGCAATAATCTTCACCTGTACCTCTAAGAATAAAGTTGATGCATGAAATGGATTCTGACCTAACCATGAGGTCAAAGTTCATGCATGAATTGATCTTAACCTTATATACCTCAAAGGATAAAGTTGATGCATGAAATGATCTTGATTTTTAGAATGCTCTAAAAGATACCATTGCTGCCTGCAATGACCTTAGACCTACCGCTGGAGACAAAGCTGAAGCATGGTCTTTGATCTACCTTCAAGGACAAAGATAATACAGGAAATGACCTTGACCTACCTCTGAGGACACAGCTGCTGCAGTCGGTTTCAATGGCTTCACTGCCATGTGCTCCAAGTTATCTTGTCTCCTTTAAAAATATACAAAATATTTCAAGGATTATATTCTTCATTAAATTATACGCATAATAAAACTGGCTGCCTATTTTGACGGTAAAAAACACTACTGTCTTATTTGTGTCGCCATAGTTCTGCAAACTGTTTTTCTGAGGTGTTTGTGGAACAGCTGAGAGCTAAAATGTCCACCACATAAATGTCTAGCAACAACACCAGCATTATCGGATAGGTTTTTCTTACATAGCTGGTCAGGTAAGATATATTTTTGCTATGATGGAAAACCATGTAAGATTATAAGACTCTTTCATGCCCAGGGATGTAAGATAGGGGAAATTCAAACCAAGCGCAATTTTCAAATTTGGGAAAATCCAAGGCTTTGCCAAGGGTATTGCTAAATTCGAAAATTCCTGAAGGTGGAATTTCCCTATCCTACACCTTTCGGCATGAAAGAATAGTTATCTCTCATTCCAACTACCAGAATAAGCTCAGAAACCATGAAAATGCATTTGGACTGGCCACCATTTTGAAAATACCAATTTTTCCCATGAGCTTTTTAGACAAAAACGAATCTGTCAGCCAGATTTAGCATACCCCATATTTGCAAACAGAGTTTACACACAAAAATTGATAACATTCTTCTAACATATACGGAAAATATATCTCAAAAGGTTATAATTCATCATGTCGCCTTTTCCACATTGCAGCATCGGAGATTTCCAAATTCGTGACGTCACGTCATTGTTGAGCCATTGTGACGTCACATCACGTGAAATGGGGTGTAAGATAGAAATTTCCTACACCCCTTTCTTACCCTGGACAGCTCTATTTTACACACAGGGAAATGAGAGAAAAATCTATCTTACATGGGCATGACATCACAATTCACAATAAGACAATGAGACGTATCATGCCATGGCAAGTTTGACAAAGTTTCTCATTTTTTTGCTGAATTTTATTTTCCGGTTCAAGTATTTTTCATTGATTTATTGATTGGTACTATAAACTTAATGCTTGTGTTGACAACCTCTACAGAGGAAGTGGGAGGAGCTAGATTAAAATACAATAAAACATTATCTGTGCTCCGTCCCACGTCTATCTCACATTATTAAGACAGTGGCTTAAGATGATGCTAAAGATTAAGCTATTTCAGACAGACTATTCCCAGAGTGATAAGGCCAGACATGGTCAATCTAAAACAGTAGGTGGGTATCATATATATAGACATAGGTGGCAGGTCCTCTTATTGATTCTGTCCCGCGACAATGTGTGTGTCTACATACTGACCACACATACTGACAATACAATTAACAATATATCTACTTACTGACCACACATACTGACCGTACATTTACCAAATAATGTTGCTACTTACTGACCACACATACTGACCACTCACTTAACAGACAATGTATCTACTTACTGAAAACTATCAAATAAGACCTTTTTGTTCTGATATCCGTCTTATCTGACCAATATGTTGTTTACCACAGAATGTCAGATTAGACAGGTTAATATGACCAATACGTTGTGTCCCATTGGGTGTCAGATTAGAGAGGTTTCATTGCCAAATAGGCTTCTGATAGACAGCGTAACCAATGGTATCTTTTGTCGTCGTGTAAAGCTCGGCACATTTCAGTTGTTATTCTCTTGATGTACAGAAATCATTACAACTACAGAGAACAGCACTGTCTTTATAATGTCATTTCCATTTCTCAAAAGAAGCGACTATATTAAAATCCATCTGTGTTAATAGGGCATGTTTCAAAACTCTTCATTGTTGTCACGTTCATGTTGACTTGAGCTTGTATTGAGGGACCACCTGCATTAAGAGATCACTCTATGGTATTCCTAAGGGTGGTCTCCTAATTCAGGTTTGACTGAGCATTGCTGTATGACACAAAGCCAATACAAGGTAAACTCTGCCAAAGACTCACTGTCTCTAAAGTAAACCTGCCTTTAGCTACCATAGAAAGAATACTCCAAACAGCATTTTCAATTTGATAACAACCTGACTACAAACAGACCCCCTGCCTATCAAAGCTGTCTTTGCTCTCTCCCTTGTGAAGTCTCTATAGACAGATCTCATTGTAATAGTCAACAACTTACCTGACAAGAACTATCTTGACCACAGATGCGGTCAAGCCTTTGATGATGGCCGAGGCGTTGAGGTGACTCCTGCCAGAGAGAACTTGGCCATTCACCTGATTATAAAAGTTGAAAACATGTAATTAGGTATAGATATTATTAGAGAACTAATATTTTATTTTAATGATTGTTAAATAAAAAATAAAAATAAATGAATTCTTTCTTATTCATGTTTAACTCTTGGAAGGAGGTTTAAATATAGGCTTTATAGGATAAATTCTAGTGTCAATTTCACAGAAGACAGGATAAAAAAAATCAAATCTTATGTGAAAATTTATTGATGCACATAAACATTGGCTATGACTCTGGGCGACATTTAAATTAAGCAAAATATCCTTTTCAAGTCGTGTAACAGAAGGCCTATGCAATCGGCTTGAATTCCTCAGCTGTTGCACCTTACAATATACATTTAAAATGGATTCAATATGTATATCCACAAGCTGGAACCATAAAGAAGGTCAAATGATTTAATCTAGGAAAATATGTAAATTTCTCATATTCTGTTAGTTGAAATATTTTATATAACTTTTGCATTTATCTCTATAGACAAGAAATAACTTTCGATTTATGAATTATCTTGCTAAAATAGAGACCAAATTGTGCTAAAATCTGTTGAGCAGTACATAAGGAGTAGTTATTTAAAAACTTGAACCCTCAGTACTTAAGGTTCTACCCCTCTGCCATCTGAGGGGAGGGGTTTTATATTTTAATGCCTTCTCCCAGTGATGCTATAAATATGAAATATAGGTAAAATCTGTATAACTAAATATACACTGAGCTCTCTTTTAAAGAAATCTCACAAATGTGCCTCACTTCTCTGCCCCCATAGTGATGTGGGATTTGAGTGGGGTGGGGTGCTTTTTTCTTCATTCATATGATTCTGTTTAAGTTCTTGACTTAGAAAAGCTATATATCAAACCAAAATCAAATCAGTATGTATATATTTAAAGAATATTTACTGAGGAAAAGGGTAAACTATAGTATTCTTTACACCAGTCTTCAGAGACACCACAATCATATATAAGCCAATCCATTTGTCCCTAGGATGCTATATTAGTTTGATGGCTTGTAACAATTGTATTGATCAATGCAAATAATGAGGTCCTAAGAGCTTCCACATCAGACAACAGGCATATAGCATATTTATGTGTTGTTGAAAACATGGCTCCAAAACCGGGCCACTAAGAAAGACGTAGCAATTAGTTGCATTAAATGTACACTTCCGTCATGTTCAAATTTTTGAGTCCTTTTTTTTCATCAAATCACAAAAAATATATTATGTACAAGAACATTTAAGTTGTGCAAAATTGAAATTAGCCGATTCTCCTGTCACCCTATGTATGAAAGAAGCTTGTGATCAGGACTACATTGGTTTTTGAACTGTAAAAATGTGTTATGGTCATCATTTAGTATATAGTTGTACACATGAGGACATCAGAAACACATTGTGAACTGTAACATTAAAACCTGCCATATTCCAGGACAGTACACGTTCTGCTTTACATCATTTGTTATTTGGTCGGAGATAAATGTGATATAAAGAAAAACATTACATTAAAAGATGTGATTTTCAACCTTTTTTTAGTTGTTCAAGGGATCTAATTGAAATCGAAGTAATTAGATTTAGCAGTGGAAATTAGAAATAAAAATAAAAAGTAAGCATTAAACCATCAGTGATCTATTTGTTAACACATGTATAAATTGTGCAAATTGGAAACAGAAATGTGATGTTCCCCAATCTATAATGACCGTAACTTTGATTCACTCCCCAATCTTTTGACCGTAACTTTTATTCACTCCCCAATCTTATGACCGTAACTTTTATTCACTCCCCAATCTTATGACCGTAACTTTGATTCACTCCCCAATCTTATGACCGTAACTTTGATTCACTACAAGTAGTTGCTTGGCTCCTGATTCCTGATCAATCATAGGTGTCATTTCACATATCAAAATGTAAATAAACTCTTAATACAATCTTAAAACTGCTACACATGCAGAATCCATCAGCTTGGCCAACATCTATCATAAAACCTGAGAATATAAGTGACGGCACAGACATCTCTGATCAAGCTAGAACTTACTTGTTACTGCAAGTTGTACAGATTGGTTTTACACATGTGGTCTATTTGATACGATTGTTATTTCACTTCTGTTATAACATTTGTTATATGTTGTGTTCTAATTAAGAAATTAGAATCACGGTATGAAAAAAGCCTCCTTATCACTGATCATGTGACCTCGATCACATGATTTGATCAGGTGATGCCAGGAAACTGTCTGTAAAACTGGAGAAGCAGTCTCATGGAAAAATTTCCTGATCAGAAAATTTTCAATCAATAAAGAAAATAAATGGAAGTAATTGTGTCATCAACAGCACCCTTAAACACATGATAATGAGATTTTTTGTTTTCAATTTTATTAGATAGGCTATCGTAATTCAATAAGATGAATGAATTTCTTCCTTCAGATTTTTGTTGGCGATGATCCAAGGTGAGTGTTATTTGCAGAGGTCACCTCTACATGATCGTAATTACATAAGTCAGATTAAACAGTGGAGGGAAAACCGTGTTAAATGTTATCTTACTGGAGGCAAAACGTGACATAAAACTGCATGAAAATATGTCAAATGTACTGTAGTAGTGTTAAAACCCATATCTCTAATGGGCCTTGCCCCTCTGCCCTTCATTATCTAACATTCCTTCAACTGTTTTAACAAAGTTGTCTTTTAAAGAATAGTTGACAAGAAGATGCTTCACCTTAGCATACACTTTAACTTGACCGGGTGAGCTAATGTATCAAGCAATCAAGGTAAATATTTTTTTTATTTTTCAGCTTCTTCATAATAGAGTGGAACCTCTTGAGGCAAGCTATGACCCAAATTCAATTCTACAAGGTACCACAAACTATAATTTTACAAAAAGTCCTAATCTTCAATGAAGTCCTATATTCCTGTTATTCTGTGTGGGACTATAATTGTATTAAAGATTATGGTTCAAATACCTCTAAAAGCTCGTCACCAATATGTATGCGGCCATCACGCCATGCCACACTCTCAGGCTGTATGCCTGCCACAAAGACGCTCATTGTATTGCGATCTTTGTTGCCAGCCAAACTGATTCCTAAGCCATTCCCGCTCTTCTTGAGGTCCACAAGGTGAAGGGCCCCCGTCAGGTCACCATAGCGTCGTTGTATCCGTTCTGGAATTACAAAACATTTAGCAATCAATTTGGCACAGTATTTTTAGTAAAATGATTTTTTTATTATTAATTTAATTCTTTTATATAAGCAGTAACATCTCAGAAAAAAATTGCAGTAATCAGAATTTAGTATACGATCTCACGAAACATTAACCATCACCAAAATTTCATCAGATGTCATTTTCATGAAATTTCCTGTCTGATCCACAACAGTGAAGATTTTAAATCAAGTGTAACTGCCTTAATTAATATTAGACAGAATAACACAGATGTCATACATGTATATGGTGTTGAGGAAAATAACCCTGTATCCTGCAAGAAAATAGTTCAATTGTCAAGGTCAATAACTCTGTAAAGTCACTGGACCATTACTTCCTTCCTTCATGCCCACCTGTACAGTACTTTCACTCTGTGCCAAGTTTTAATTGAATCCAAGAAAGAATGTAGAAGGATTTCATTGGCTTATAAGTTTCCAGTTGGAGAGGCAGAGTAATTACAATAAATCCATCCACTTTCAGCTTTGTTTGCAATGGGAAATGATTATGAATACAAAATGTATGTAAGAAATTAATGCCTTTGTTCCCATGTAAAATTATTTACAGGTTTGACGTCCTATAAAAGGTAACAGTAACATTAACCTTGGCCTTGATCTTTCCCAGGCTAAAAAAAGGTACATTGAGGCATGCCTTTTTCATGCCTTTTTCATGCCTAAAATGTACCTTTGGCCCGAGGTACATTTTAGGCATGCCTAAAATGTACCTCTACTTCTGGGGTATTTTTAAAGTATACCTCAAATGTGCCCCGTTTGGACTCTAATTTTGTCAATGTGCCTCAAATGTGCCCCATTTGGACTCTAATTTTAAAAATGTGCCTCAAATGTGCCCCATTTGGACTTAGGTCTCTTCCACATGCCTCAAATGTGCCCCATTTGGACTCTAATTTTATCAATGTGCCTCAAATGTGCCCCATTTAGACTTTGATTTTTTTAATGTTCTCCATTAGGACTTAAAGATTTCTTCCACATGCCTTAAATGTGCCCCATTTGAACTCTATTTTTATCAATGTGCCTCAAATGTGCCCCATTTGGACTCTGATTTTTCACATGTTCCACTTTTAGACTTTGATTATTTTTAGCGTGCCTCAAATGTGCCCCATTTGGACTTGAACTTGTTCTCAATACTGCAAAATTGCCCACTTCAAATATGTTCTTTTCAATTATTTTTTTCAGATTTGACATACTTTTAATGATATTTTTTATATAAAATTAACCATCAAAATGTCTTTTTTGAATGCCATTTGCAAAATAAAAATTATATAACAAGCTAAACGAATGAATAAATAAACTTGAACTCTGTGAATTTACCTGGTCTAATTCAGAGACATGTAAAGCCACGTATCTGTCTTATATAAAACAGAAAATTCATAAAACACATTTCTGTTTCAGTCATTGTTGCATTTAACTTTCAGTCCCAACAGCTAGAAAGACATAATTGAAAGATTTCAACGACATATTAGTGACATATTTATTAAAATGTAAAACGAAAACAATTAAACTACACAATGGAAGTTTAAAAAAATCGGCCATGTCTTAGACGCTACGAAATACTCTGCAAACTGTTTAACTGTGAAGTAGTAACTACAAGCGTGTGTTTATACCTTGTATTTCTATTTCTTGAACTGATGTTTGAAAACGTGCCGGAAAGATCGTAGGAATGTTAAAATCGTGTTTGGCTTCGTTGTGCAAGACTTCGTTTTTCTTTTCGACGTCGATGTATTTTCGTCGGCGAACAGCCAACATTTAGACGGCGCTTCAAACAATATATAAGTGTTATATTGTTGATGTGATAGGAGACTCTTTTAATTTCCAAGTTAATTGCATTGTGAATGAGCCATTTATACCGAGTCCGCCGAAGCCATGTGAAGCCATAACCCGGAAGTATATTTGAGAATGGAGAAAACGCGCGGATTCATTGCGTACGACACAACGTGTCTATAGGCCCCCTATTTGTCATACTGTTTTTTTCTGTCACTTAATATAGTAATTATATCATTCACAAATACGATAAAATGGGGAGGGGACTGGAAAGTAACGCGAGGACGTGAAAAGTATAATCGTCATTCCTCGTATGTAAACAACTATTTTCCCATGATGCAATACCATTAAATAAGCCAATCACAACAAAGCGGGAAATTTATTCATCATTTGATTCAACTTTGACCCACGACCTATATGCTGCGAATGTAAACAACCTGGTCGATCTCAAAACGCTTCAATTTTACGGTAGTATTTTCATGTTATGCTGGAGTTTTCCGGTATCCAGTCTCTGAGAACAAGACATTGAATGGTGAAGTCGGAACAGAATGTGTTTTCTACACAAACGGCGACGAAATCGATTCACTTATCCCAGACCTCGCCGGCAAACATGGCGGCCATTACGTAAGTTTACATGTGAAAATTTCGTCAATGTAACTTTTAATTGTTTTGACAAAAATATAGATCAAATTCTTCGCCCCAATTGGTCATGTTCATGAAAGATTATTCTTCATTGTTTTTCAGCTCATCGGTGACAATCGAGCTATAGCTTCTGCACCCCCGGGCCGCGGCACCCAATTTTAGAAGTTTTGAGGCAAGTTTTCAATGTTTTTGACTACACAAGTCTCTATGAATCCGTTCGGAGTTTGGGGTGTGATACAACAAACAGTTTGACGTTTTAAATGTTTGTATTGTTTTCAAAATTTCAGCGTGCTGATAATCGTCAAAACTTTTTTAAGTGAATTTATTTAAACGTTTTAGGGGAGTTCAATATTTGAAATTAATTCTTACTACAAACAATGTGTGTGAAATAATGTTTCATTAAATGTTAAAATTACTTGTTTTCTTTCACATTTTGCTTTGGCTTATGGTTTATGATTTTTGATTTTTCTCAATTGACTCCATCGAAATATTATAATTATTATTACTTATATTTCAATGAAATTTTTTTTTCTTTTTATACACCAGTCAAACCCCTCTATATCTTCAAAATTGCAGGTTCAATTAATTGCAGGTCATCACAGTTTTTCTTCATGTATATTATTCCAATAATTACAGCAGACATGTACTTGCTTAGTTATTTTCATCATGTTACATAATAATCTAATTATGTATATGTACATTTAAATTTTCAAGATATTCTTTTTATCATATATTTTCAATATTTTTATTTTATGATCATTATGGACTGTCTGTATCAATCAGAAAAAAGGAAAGGAAAAAAAGCCTTCTTGAACATTTTAGCCTGATAAAAAAAAAGTTCAAAAATATTTTATTAGTATGATTGATAAGTCAGTAAGTTTTTCAAACTTATAATAGATGACTTCTCCAAATAGGTCATGTGATGGCATGAAAGATGATATATAGGTACATTAAGAAACAAACAAATTGATGAAACATATCACAGTGAAATCAAGGATTCGTGGAGGGGGAGAGAGAAGAGGGGTGAGGGTATAAATAGAGAACAGAGATTTAATTAAATCTTCCTGACTTACCTAAATAAAATATAGTGTAACTGTTGTTATATATGTCTATACACATTGAAAAATCTTAAAAGTTCAGACTGAAAGGATTTCCAAGAATGCGTGAGATTTCATCTAGGGTCTAGTAGAGTTCTTTTTTTCTCCCTCCTTTAATTTCCCTGGCGCATAACACCTCGGACGCTCGACCCCCTGTTATAGAATACACTCCAAAAAAACAAACATTGATTTGCTTTGCCACAGTGTCTTCATTTTTTGAGTAGATATTTAATAACAAATAAAGAAATTATTTTGTTTTGGTTTACCATATGGGAAATCTTGTTAACCTCTCTATTCATTATTGATATGAAATATTGTCATTCTTTCACTTTAAGTTCAAGATTTTTCTTGATTGTTTATCGTAGGATGTAAATCAAACATAACATCTTGTACCGGATTCAGTGGTGTTGTTGCTCATCATTTCTACTTGCCGTTGCTCTGTTAATCAAACAGTTTGATTATGTGAAACAGCAGGATATATACTTATTTCTTGATTTTCTTTCATTCAGACCCTTCAGATGCTGAAGGACCTTCATTAAACCAACAGAAAGATATGGACGTCACAGATGGTAATTTTCATTTAACTTTTGGTCACCAGCTCATGCAAAGGGGATGTGGTCGTACATATTTTAGCAATATTATCTTAGCACATACAAACTAAATTCTGGGTCTGCAGCTGAACACTTTCAATGATATGAGCCCCAATCTTTTTTCTTTGCATTCTAAACATTATGGCTAATTACATTATCCTAGATTTAGGGTGTGTAGGCCTCTCATTGTTCCTAAACATATTTACATCATCAGACGCAGTCAAAATACTTTACTGATACTTGCATTTGTAACAAAGAGGGGATGGCAATAACATAAACAAAGCGATGTTCCCTCCCTTCATTATAGAGTTATGTCCCCTCGTTTGACATGTTTACACTATTCCTCTCAAAGTACTGCACCAATATACTTAATAAGCATTTCATTCTAACTGACCATTTGTGAATTATATATAAAGTCAACTCCCATATTAATAGAAATATTTTTCCTTTTGTTTAGAAAATAAATTCACTACTCCTTCCATATTACTTCACCAATTTAAGTGATACCTTTTAAACAATACAGTATATAAATCGGGGGTCCTCTCCCAATTATAGAGCTATGTCCCTTTGTTTAAAAAACTGTTTGTATTACTCCCGAGGTACAATAAAAATGAGACTGGTGTTTCGCCATATATATATTTAGGCATGGCCTTTATTTCAATTTTCATACCAAAATATATTTAAGTGCTGTTGATCTGATTGCTTCAATTTTAAACCTTGTTGTATATATATATATGCCCCATATATATCTACATGTATGTATAATTACTTAATTTATTCAAACCTGACAAGCAATTCATGAACTATTACATTTTCCTTTACTTTGTTATTGAGTTAATTTGATCATTATTTTTTTTC